TAACAAAATATGTGAAATACTCCCATTTGATTGTTCTTGAGATTTTTGTGCCACTGCATTTGGCTCACAGGTGTCAGGATGTGTTTGAGATGCCAAATTTGCTTTTAGAAAAAAAAGGTTTGTTTTGAAGCATTTCAGTCAACTTGTTTTCTTTAGGTATCCGTGAGACACACAAACATGCTGAAAAACCATTTCTCATGTAGAAAGTGTTGTGTGCCCTTACACAGAGGTCAGTGATTGTAATGAAATCAGATCTGGGATCTCTGAGATAACCACAGCCGGCCGCTCTGCCTCTGGAGCTGTTTAGATGCTGCTCTGGTCCAGCTGTGTGGAATAAACTACAGCACTCATGCCAGTAAGTTAACAATGAACAGGAAACACTGATCCAGTTATTATATGTGTTTTGATATTTGCAGCTTTCAAAAATGTATTGATTTGCCACTTAAATCTTTTCAAAACTAGAGTGAACTTGACTGACTTGTGAACTTCACATTCCCTGAATGAGGGCTCTCGTTATGAAAAGAAAAACACACTGCCTGTACCTTATTTTGCAAATTCACCATAAAGGTTTGTTCCAAGTGGATTGTTACTGTGAACACAACTGTATTATTCAATAAACTCTTAAATCAGCTCGCAAGTCTAGTGTGAAATTTGTTTCTAGGAAAACAAATCAGTGTTAGCAATAAATGCATAAAGAGATGTTTTTCCATTCTTGTTAACTTGGGTTGAATTAAGTGCAAAAATGATTAGTAGTAAGTAACTAACTTGCTGTCTTACATCCATCCATCTCCTGGTTGGTATTAAAGGTCTGATTCAGTGCAGAGGATGACATTCAGTCACTCATTGTATTACAGGAAACGTCCCATCATGTCTGATCGATGCCAGAGCAGACTCACAGTGTCATGGTTACCACGCCGCCCCTTCATTCAAATGAATAATTTAATTAAACCACCGTAACCACAGACTTCATGATCCAACAAGAGTCAGAATCTAATGTTAAATTATACCACACAAACAATGTGTGCAGCCATTCCACCTCCAGGCCTTATTTAAATGCTAATGAGAGCAGACCTACCTGCAATGATGCAGCAGTCTCCCCGCCAGCACTCTCATTAGGCCTGAGAGGTGAGCGATGAGAGGAGGCAGGGCGGTGTGGTTTAAGTACCAGAACCAGGAGGGGTACTCACCCCTGAGCTGCTGGGTCAGTGCTGGAGGGGAGCCTGATCTCCTCGGGCCTCGACACATCCCGAGGCCCGCTGTAATATGCGTCAACCACAGCTCTTCGCCACAGCACCGACACACAGCAGCCAAAGACAGAAAATGGCCATAAAGCAAATTTACTGCCAGAGAGAACAGTGTCTGCTGCACTCCACAGCTCCAGCAAAGCTCATTTATATCCATATAACGAGAGCACAGAGCTGCACAGGGAAAGGGAAACGGTGGAGCTAAATGAAGGTGGACACACCACCGACTGGGGGAAGAAAAAAAATAAATAAAATGAGGAAGAACCAAGGTGACAAAAGGTCAAACAAACTACCCTGGTCAAGGGCACATTTATTTTTCCACAAGAAACACACAAACATGCAACAAGGTCATCACAATTCAATAAAGACCAATAGATTAAGAAGCCCTTTATAGTTTAATCAATGTCTCTCTATATCTTGCTTTTAGTTTATCTCAGTTTCTCTTTGTGTGAACCATTTTAAATAGCGATATGCAGACACTGCTTAAGAGAAATCAAACCACAAAAGTCATGATTTGAAGATGTCAATTAAAATGGGCACTTAAAATGCAAAACACTCGGATGTTTTACATGTTGTGAGAAGAGTGAGGAGGCAGCCAAACGCTATCACGTCCCCATCTGTGTAAATCAAAGCCAATAGAGGAAACAAAAAAAAAGACAACGAAAAAAAAGACCCTTCTAACTGGAGTAAGTCGCGAAACCACAGTGCTAAATCACCAGAAAACCAGGGTGATACTTCTAAAGGAGCTAACGATGTTTTCATACGCAGAAAAAGCTATGCATTGTCAATAAACTTGCTCACAGTTTGGTTAACATGCACCTCTAGGAGAACATTACTGTATCTTTAAAGGACATGAACCTAAGCTTTGTCTACTAGACGCCCACTTTGGCAACACGCTCACACACATTCACACGGACGAACAGATACAAACACACAGTATATCCACACAAAAATGTTAAGGTATCATTTAGAGAGAGAAGTACAGTTTGCAGTGGACACTACGAGAGAGTACAACTGTAAATACTTCATATGTTAGGACAAAGTGATTTAATCCCTTATCCCACTTCTACTCAAATGGATAGTATGGAATGAATCTTAATAAGAGTAATACAGCAAATGTTATGTTATAGTTTTTTTTTTCTTTTTTTAGAGACAATCATTCAAAAAAAGACATCAAAAATATATGTTTTCTAATACATAGCATGTGAACATCCTCCGATTGCAACCCCTTTTGTTTAGAATCCTGGAGGTAGGCACCCCATAAAGAAAACATCCATTGTCATTTAAACCAAAACAAAACAAAACAAAAAAAATCCACCTTCTTGCTACACATTAAATCATGTATTAGATCTTAAAAATAGTAAATTGCATATAAACCATCTCTCTCTTCTTTAATTCACGCAAATACCAAACCACGTTTTAGTCGTCGTTCCCGTAGAAGTCTGTACACACCTGAAAAGTCTAAAGGGCCTGCATCGCTCGCACTACAAGACCGACACACGGAAAGGAAAAGTTGAAGAAGCAAACATTTGGATTTCTCTAGTTAATGAAAACTTCATTCAACATGGAAAAAGAATCCCTGATAGATTGGAAGCATTCTCTCTTGCTGTCCCATTTTATAAAGGGTGTCGAAAAAGGTGTGGAGGAGAGAACTTGAAATGGAGCAGGCCGAAAAGTGACTGCATTCAACGCCTGGGTCAAAATCACACGTTGAAATACTTTAAGTAGTTTGTTTTAGCTTATTGGAGTGGCAGAGAGTTGGAATCACACAGGCAATAAAACATAAAACTGTAGTTTAAAGTTCGTGGAAATAAAATCGAATAATTGACGTATTTAAGTAAATGCTTAGTTCGGAAACAACCAATACAACATCTAATCAACTCATAGGAAGAATAACAGGATTAGTTTTCCTTTCACCCTTTACCTTTTTTTTTTAGTTCAGCATGTATTCTCTTTTAGATATTTTTGTGTGAGGAAATATCCGTTTTTGTTCGACGCTAAATTAGAACTTCATTCTGTACTTCTTGTACATAAAATCGACAGTCTACACAGCAGCACTTTCATCTCAGATTTTTTCTCTCTCTGGTTCTCTGTAGAAGCATGTAGTACTCATGCAACACACACTATTTATTATTATTATGTCTTTTTTATGCCTCAAGCCATTTCTTTTCTTCTTTACACATAATTGCAATGATTGTGTGTTCTCCTCCGGCTGCTGCCACAGCACTGGTGTCAACTTATACAGAATGCATGTAAATTATATGGATTTTCACCAATTTGCCTTGCATATGGAATCATACGTAAAATCCCATGATTAATAAGAAAAGCAAACATTAACATAAGTTCGCTGAAAGTTCAATCAGTTATTCAGCCATTAGCACATTGTGTTGTGCTATGAAGTTGCAAAGCATAACGCGCAAATCATTTTTGACCAATGTGTGTTCCTCTGGTGTAGCTTTGGTTTAAAGTGTACACAATAGTTATTTATCTAAAACATGTTGTTGCCCTTTATAGATCCTATGGATTATCAGTGGATTTGATTAATTTTCCACTGGTTGGTTGACATCTGAATGGGTCGACATGTACGCTGGTGAGCTACACCTCCAAATTGCAGCTGAATGTGTTATGTGTAGACACAGATGAAGGACTACAGCTGCTGCTCTGTGATTTTGGTCTCTTGGGTGTTCCAAATTCTGGTAATGCACTCTCCTCTCTACAAATCGTGTCTAAACACAGAGCGAGAGTCAACCGAAACAGTAAAGTTAAAGGCAGGACGGCTGAACAATGAGCTGAACGGAGCTGCATGTTCATGTGATATCTCTCTGTAGTTCGTCTCATTGTCGCACTGTTTCCATTTCATTTTAAAAATGTAGTAATAAAAAAAACAAAAACCAAAAACAAAGTACAACTGCATTAAAAGAAAATCCTGCTTATGAGTGTGAAACATGGACTGCACTAACTGTCTGGTGGTAGAATTTGCATAATCAATGACAGACAGGTAAATATAAACACAAAAAATCTCAATCAGCTTGTGAGACGTGTCTCTGCCTGGCTGGCTGGCATTGAGTAGAAGGAGTCAGGCCAGTTAAAATACGACAAAATGCCAGCTCTTCGTGCCGTTTTGGAGTTTCTAATGAAAAAAATACTAAAACCAAGAACTGGAATAACATTTACAACATCTTAGCACTACAATTATGCTGAATTTGATATCAAGCAACCTGTCTGTTTTTTTATACTACACTAAGTTAAATTGTGTGTACATACAACTCAGGACAACTCTGCTTAAACCATGTGTGGAGCCTGACACACTGTATATGAGATTTTTGTAAATAATATGTGAGCAATGAAAGCCTAAAATAAACAAAGAAAAATATTTGACCCTAAATGCAAAACTGAATTATGAAGCCTGCCAAAGTGTGTGTATTTTTATTTTTTTTTTAAATATAGGTGTTTTTGTCAGTGTTTTATATTTTTAGGTTATTTGAAATCACAATTCAAAACAAATGTATATATTTATAGTGCAGAAGAAAAGAACATGCTCAGAAATAAAGGGTGTATTTGTCACTAGATCATAGAAATAGTATTGTTACGTAATTGTGGATAGGCCTCTTGTCCTGTTGTATAAATAGGACATGGATTCTTCAAACAAATATGGCGGCTGCATGAAAGCGTCACTGTGATTAGCAGCTGTGAGGCATGTATCTGCATATATTGATGGTGCTTTGATGTCAGAAAGTGAACGACATACGATGTTGATCACACACATATTTCTTTATGACTTTTAGCGTATTTATATCTGGTTACAAACTGACTAAATCCAACCACTTTGTTGCTCCAGTTAGCTAAAACAAACTCTTAAGAATATTTGCCGTTTGATCTTTAACCCAGGCTGTTTCCACCTTCATACTCAACAAAACTGCCTGACTGCATCCATTTCCATGTTCTGGACAAGTAGAAAAAAGAGAAATTGCCCATTTTGGGAAGGAAGAGGGGAGAGGGAGGGGGGAAACGGCCATCTTCATGCTGCTAAAGCTTCCCCACCAATAATAAAGACACATTTACTGTATTTATTGGTGTCCCACAGGGGATCAACTACACAGATTCTACATTAAGGTAACAACAGCAGCATACGCTAAGACTACTTGTAATATAAGACGTCCATAACAAGTCATACATGTTTCAGTCCCTGACATACTGACAATTTTTTTTTTGCCAGATTTTATGTATTCATGTTAATATGTGCCTGTGTATAGATATGTGGGACAGTCTTTATATTTTCTACATAGAAGAGTATAAAAATAAATTAAACTTACACCATTGACTCAAATTGAGCTTGAATTTAAAGGTATATCACATCTGCAAATGTATATTATATATATATCTATATGTATATCTATGTCTATATAGATATATACATATATATATTTAAAGCATTGCAAGCCATTTTTATAAACATCAACATAAAAAAAGACAAATTTCATTGCAATTTAAGACATTTTCCTAAAAATTAAATGACTGATTAAACAAAAATGTTGCCTCAAAGTGCTATGGAAGACTATGATTCACCCCCAAATTAAGCCCACAGCTGGGTGCCCACATGATAAACCTTCCACCAACACCCCCGCTCATTAAAATTGATCAGATATACTTATGGAGAATTATGCAGCACTGGGTTATCTTTAATCTCTGGGTAAAGAAACATCACAGGATCTCCAGCGAGGACCTTCAAATAGTCTTTAGCTCAGAGGCATGAAACCAGAGGGGGGAAAGAGGAGAGTGTTTGAAAGAAAAAAAAAAAAGGTCTCAACCAACAACATACTGGACCAGCATTTGCATGGTTTCTCGCTCTGCAGAGAAGGAGGAGGCGGTGAATGAGGGCGAAGCCATACATCAGGATCAACCCTAACGACTGTGAGTGAGCTCACGCAGGGAATGAGGTGTTTCACTGCTCGCTATACAAGCAGATGAGCTCAGTGCACTGAATAACAGCAAACCAGCTCACAAGAGACTTGTAGATCGCAGGCGAGCAGGAGTGCTATGGATCCCCAATGGGAAAACCGTTGGGGTCTGAAAGAGGAACGTCCATCTGTGTGTTCAGCTTTTCTCCTCAAGGACTCAACGCCAGCATATTAATGCCTCCTAGCACGCGATCACCTCTCATGTATGGTCAGCATGATGGATCGTGCCAACGCCTGGGTTTGCTCCAACTGGGAGAATAATAATGCAGGCTTTATATTCACAGAGGTCGGCGTCATCAGTGTGTCAACAAAACAAATGAGTTTAACCTTGGAGCGTAGGCGCAAATCCCACTTCACAAGCTCAGCCTTTCAAGTTACAACCCCTTGTAACAAGCTGCGAACTGACTGGTCAGAAGCTTGTTTCATCCATTTCACGTCTCCTCTCACAGACAGTCTACAAGGTTAACCATACAACATACATTTACTACCAAACACCACTATTTCATAGTCTTTAACTCTCTGGAACCTACGTCATGCACTACAGAACACACAGAATTACTGATCCGCTGTATCAGAAGTGGAAAATGTCAGAGATGCCCAGTGCAACCTTAAATGACATCAGCAGAGCTAAGATCCTCTCCTTCAAATCACAAAACCAAGTTTCACCACTTGTTACAGGTCAATAATTAATTATAAAAGTAAACGAGGGGAAGCAAGTAATTGATTTTCATTCAATTAAGAAGCTGAAATTCTCTTAAATGTATCTCAGCAATATCAAGCAACAGTTGATCCGCTGACACCTCACGCTCTCGCAGGTATTTGCTTAACATTCATTATGCAGCGTTAGTCGGGGCCATGCATTCTGGAGATCAGCATTTACAAAGATGCCTGTGTATAGTTTTGGCCCCTTGTCAGTTTACTCCGAGTGCAGAGGAACAGTTTCAGTTGAACCGAAAACACGTTAAATACCATTTACCTGCACCTATCACCATCAGCTTCCATCACTTTGCCATGGACACACCATGCTCAAGGCATGAATCAAGAGACAGCAGGGGGAATTCGAGGTTATACAAACCATAACATTGATTATAACCATTATTTTTGCTTCCATTGCTCTCGTGCCACCACTTCTGCAGGATATTTTTGTTTGTGGGGAGTAAAGACTTGTCGGCTGCATGTTGGCCCGTCATGCAGTGTCCCTGTTCTCTGGGAGATGGCGGGGCTTTGTGTTCCTGTGTACCAGCTCAGCTGGCCATCAGTCCTTCAGGTTGTCCTCGCCGACCCCCTGGGCCGACAGCTCTGTCAGGACGTTGTCCAAGTAGTTGGGATCGGGGTAGCCGTGACCGGTCAGGTTGGAGCCAAACTCTGTCTTGTGGTGAATCTCATTCCACACCACTGTGTCTGACTCGCCTGTGGTGCTGGACGTGCCGATGGTGAAGATGAGGCGTCTGTCCCAGGCCATGATCAGTAGCTTCAGAACCTGCAGACACACAAATGAAAAGAAGTGTTTTAAAAGTCACTCGACAGCAGACAAATACAGGAACAGACCACATGCAGGACGGTTGCTTCTGCGACTGTTGTCAGAGCTCACCTTCCTGCCTTTCTCATTGTCGGGCAGGTAGCAGTGTCGAGGGAACCCTCTTGCGCTGAACTTCTTCCCGGGGTTGGGGTGCTCATTGGTCTGGAAAAATGTCAACAACAAAAACAAACATTACAACTCCTTCTCTTCCATTTACGACATAATTGTGTGGGAAATGTCAACAGCACCCACAGGACAAGCTTTATTGTTCACGTTGCTCACAATGGCCCTTTGTGAAAGTTATTTGAGAGATATGTTACTGTAAACATCCAATTATCTCTTTAATGATCTGATTTTAGATTGGCTCTTTCAAGGCTCCAATGTGAAAAGAATAATCAGGTTGAATAAATCGCGTAGATACATGGGTCGGAATGGGGTCAGAAAACCCCAAACCTTACTAATAAAGGAGGCATAGTGCAGTTACAGTTATAGTGCCCCAGTGACGACAAACTGCTATTCCAAGCCAGTTTTGTGTTCCTTCTGCCTCAATTAAGCTCCCTGGATGGGTTAAATGTCCTATTCTCTCCACTGACTGTCTTCCTCTCTTTATTAAGAGAGAAATGTGTGTAGACGCATCTTCTTCCAACAGGCCAATCTCAGTGCAAATCAGCAATAAAACTGTGTATTTAAAAGTGAGATCTAATAAGTTTTTAACTGTGCCACCAAGACAGACCGCTATGCTAATTCTCATTCATTTGCTGATTGTAAGACGACTATAATACTACCCAATGTTATTTTGCTGTTGTCCATTGAGAGTATTACAGTTCTGTCAGCATGTTTAGAGGGTGGACTGAGGAAGAGTAATGCTCTCTGGCAATAGTGCATTGTGCCGCTGTGCTGACCTGAGTGGTCTGATGACCCCTGGTATTCTCTGACCCTGGGGACACTAATCCTGCTCTGCTAGCGTAAAAAGGTCAGTTTATTGACTTCATTAAAGCTCATCTCAGCACTGAGGATAAAATACGCAGCCCTCTCATCTCCACCAACCCACCAGCTTGAACTCAGGCTTCAAAATAGCCTGCCCTCTCTACTGCAAAATCACCTTTATTGGATTCATTGCAGTTTTGCTTTTTGTTATTTATGTTTGTATTTATTCATTATATATATAACATGCTACATGTTACATGCACTGTATAAAAAGACACATAACCTTTTTTTCTCACTGTCTGACAATTTGTGTTGCTTTTTTGGAGTAATAGCTTCTTCCTCTCTGAGTAGCCTTTCAGCCCATGTCAGTACAGAACTGGCTTCACTGTGGATAATGACTCTCTCTGACCAGCTTCAGCAGCATCTTCACAAGAGCTTTTACTTTTGTTCTGGGGTTGATAAGCACATTTTCACACCAAAACACATTCACCTGTGGACACAGAACCCGTCTCCTTCCTGAGCAGTATGATGGCTGGACATTTCCATGGTGTTTATACTTGCATATAATTGTTTGAACAGATGAACCTGGAACCTTCAGGCATCTGGACATTGTACCCAAAGATGAACCAGACTTGTGGAGGTCCACAATTCTCTTCCTGATATCTTGGCTGATTTCTTTAGATTTTCCCATGTTGTCACAAAAGGAAGCAGTGTGTTTGAGGTGTGACTTAAAATACATCCACAGGTGTGCCTCCAATGAACACAGATGTTGTCAATTAACCTATCTTCCAAAGCCATGACATTATCATCTAGGCTCTCCCAAATAGTTTGAAGGCATAGTAACCTTACTGTATGTAAATGTCTGACTTTGAAGAAAGTAATAAAACATTTTGTAAAAAATTTGCCCTGTCATTATTCTGGCATTTACAAATAGAAATAATTTTGGTAATCCTAACTGACCTAAAACAGGAAAAGTTTAGTCTGATTTAATGTCAGACAGTGAAGAAGAAAAGGTTATGTGTCTTTTTATACAGTGTATGTAAACTTCTGCTTTTAACTGTATATATACATCGTAAAAGATAAAGATAAGGCCAAGAAAACTGACTTATATGACTATCATGTGCCACACATTTTTTTTTTAATACTCTGAATTGTGTGTCTTTTCCAGAACTGCTGTGTGATTCCTAAGAACGCAGTTTCCTCGATGCCCCAACACCTCACCTTCCTGCACGAACAACTGCCCGTCAGGCTTAAGCGGATAAGCAGTTGTAGAAAGTTCACGGATTTGAGAGATGGTGGGAGAGACAGTGGATCAGGGCACAGAGGCAGCACTGTGGATTTAGTGAAGGGACACAGCTCTCACCTGGATCCCGGCAGGAATGTCGTAGACGATGCGGATGGTCTTGGAGTCTGGGTAGCCGGGCAGGCAGTGGGGGATGACGTGGTACTCCATCTTCCCAGGGGGCTGGGTGCCCGTTTTCTCCCCATAGATGGTTTTGCATGTTGGGCACTGAAGACTGCCGTCCTGCTTTGAAGAACAAAAATAAAAAATTGCTTGACATTAATGACACAATGACATGGCACTGAGTGTTATTACTTGTTTGATTTCATGTTGCTTTAGGAAGAAACTTTACCCAGGGGTTTCAAACATTTCCTTGTATTGCTAGTGATACTATTAAACCTTTTTGTTGTCACGACTGGGATTCATTCATTCTTCCTTCATTATAGTCCATTAAACAAAATTTAATTTGTGATGTTCAAAACTATAAAAACTTGAATTTAAGGGTGTATTATTTAATAATCTTGTATTTCCAATCAGTCAAGTGAGTATGTTATATCAGAAAAGGGATCACTCATAGTGATGAAACTACAAAGTATTATCAGCCGACTCTTCGGCTTAATGGAGCTTTTTTTTTGTCACTTTCAGCTCATTGTTTATCTGTTGACATTAACGACTTGCTAGTGAGCATAGTGGAGTACATAGCAGCTTGAGAGCCTGATATTTCTCACGACTTGGTTGTGGGAAAAACTGAAAGAGGAAGGATTATTTCCCCTAAATTGGTCAGGAAACCAGAAACAAAAGACCAAATTAATACTGACAGTGATATTTGTGTGCTACACGGCACATTCCTCATAAATAAAGCCCTGCACCTAATTCACATTACACTCTTATAACTGTGCCAGTAACAAAAGACTAAAAGTGCACCAACAGTGGTTTAATTTTTTTTCCCTTTCTGATTACCTTACGTTACTCTCAATGTATGTATCATTTAGTGTAGATTGCGGGGGTAAGACTGCCACTGGTGGTGCATTCCATGCAGCTTCCTCTCCTTCAGCTAACTGTTTCCATTTTCGAAATCCCCTTCAGTACTGGTAACAACAATCTCAGGGCAGGAATCTTCCAAACTGAAAATTTTTACTTCTGCTAAAGTTTTGGACTGTGCAATAAAGCAGCCGTGCTTGTTTTGTTTTGTTTTGTTTTGTTTTTTCCGTGCATGAAAATGTACAACTAAAACAATTCCCTCCTGTCACTATTGTGAGGGAATTGTCTGTGTATCACGTTCTTAGCCCCGACCAGGATGACTACGATTGGTTTAAAGAAATACAAACAGGCCAAAATTGTTCACTTCTAAATCTGAATGATGATAAAAGTGCAGTCACATCATTCTTCACAACATTGCATCAGTGCTAGAGAATGGTCCTGCTATGTGAGACTACTCACAATGCAACTTCACTAAGGTGGTAGTGGCTAATGAAATCATGGCTAAATTGAAGCTATTTTTTGTTTGTTTGTTTGTTTGTTTGTTTGCTTCAAACGTCCATTCTTTCTGGTGCTACAAAACTCTTAATACAATTATTATTAGTAAGAAGTGTACAAAGATCAAATATTGCAGCTTGATAAAAATGTAAGCCCTTAAAAAGTGTTTATACGGGATGTGGGGATATTAATGTGGAAAGATACTGGTGAAACCTTCAAATGTAGTTTTTTACTGCTTTGATCAACAGGCAGCGATCTCAAAAAAGGGATATTTCTAAATTTGGATGGATTAAACCAAAACGATCCACATAGCCTGATACCAAATGTAAATGAGTAAATTTGTATTCCATGCAAGTGAACTGAACTGAGCAGGATTCATAGCGATTTAACAAAATAGTATGCTGTCAAGTCTGATATGACTGATCTGATGAGACCATATAAGATCCCCATCTGTGTGCAACAATATTGAGGCCCGATCGTGTGCCAGTGCCAGCAGTGCATTCAAGCTGCAAGACATCGCAAGTTTAGAATTTGAGCCTAGAGTGACATCATAACAACGTCTGGCTCACAAGCGTTTACCCACCTTATTGCCATTGTTGTACATGGCCACCAGGCACAGCAGATGGTACATGTGCCCGCACTTGCCAAGTTTGCCCACCAGCTCTGGCTTGATGCCTTTGTGCTGCAGGACGCCTTCATAGCCTGATGACATGACCAGCCTCTCCATGCAGATGGTACAGTCCTGGAATAGCCAACCAAAATACTTCAGCTGCCATTCGACTTGTGCATGACTGTGTATTTGTGAGACTTGGTTCGGACAGTGAACGGTGACAGATTGCATCTCTTGGTGGGCACAAAACTTTGAAGTCCTTCGTGTGTGCGTGTGCACGCCTTTTGTGTCTTTTTTTCTTACCTCGTCTGGCACCACTTTAATCTTCTCCGTGTATCTTCGCACCACATCCTCCGGGTTTTTCCCTTGTTGCAAAATAAAACATACAAGAGATGAGATGACCATCAAAGAAAAGTTAAACTATCCCTTCCACAAGCCACAAATCGAAATGAATAGAAGAAGAGAAGATGGATCCCTGCCTGGCATTTAATTGTCATTTGAACATAAGAGAATAGAAGCTAGACCCTGATCAATCGGTTTCAGCGTCCACTCTGGCCTGGGCACCTCTTTTTTTTTTTTTTCAACAGATAAAAGAGTGTGAGTGTGCATGTGTATACAGTATACATCTCTGTGATGTTGAAGAGGAGGTCACCTTCAAACTGGCACACAACAAGCAGCCATCCCCACACTCTCTGATAATCCCCGTGTGCAATCAGGCTAGCATGGCTGAGAGCACACCCACAGCTTACACCCCTAATACGCTTACAGGCAACCTCCTTTCCCCCGGAGCCTTTGTTTGTTCATTTGAGGGACAGCCAGTGAAAAGAGGCAGTGAGAGCAGTGGAAAGAGACAGCCTGTGCAAAAAAAAAAAATACAGAGGTACAAAGGGTGGGCACAGGAGGCAGACAGTTGTGAAGAGAGGGAGGAGAGAAAACAGCAAAAAAGGAGGAGAAAGAGAAAGACTGAATTATGCATTTTATGCTAGTGCCATTTGATGGCTTCATTAGCCGGATGAAGAGCCTCTGACCATTTTCTGTGTAGAAGCAGAGCAGGATGAACCTAAATCTCCCTGCACAAGTAAAAAAAAACAAAACAACAACAACAACAACAAAAACACAGAACAACATTCCCCTCACAGCTCTTCAGCATGCTTGACTCTATGCATTTTCTGAATAAAGTACATATAGGTTGCACATTTGGCTGCTGCCTCATTCACTTGCCAATTAGCTCCATAATTTCCAATAACTTTTCCAGGAAATATTCTAAAAATGGGGCAAAATACAGACAGATAGCATCTGAAATAAATATTTGATGATGAATTTGGGCAAGTTAATGAAATATTTCAACTATTGTATTGGATTGTGGTTAATTTTGCACACATATATAATATGCATCACTAGAGGATAAATTCTACGAACTTTTGTGATTGCTTGATTTTGCATTTTATGTATCATTATGTTTAAATTTCAATGTTTCCAACATTCTACGTCCAGATACCTGTAAAACTAATGCGTCTTGTAGCTAATGATACCTAAAATATGCCAGCATTGCCATTCTGAGGATGTTAACATTTAGCAAACTTGTGCTGACAACCTCACACAGCGGATAGCATGACTGTAGAGTCCTGTTGTGATTTGAGATTATATAGCTTAGTGGAGCTGATCAGAAGTTGCTGATTTTCAGAGGAAATTCCATTCCAAGAAATTACTCCATTTAAACTCACCTAAATATTCAACTTTATTCTTCATGTGGAGTATATGGAATGACATGTGCGCCTATATATAGATAAGCTGTAGGCTACACGAGCAATTACTTGGAAATACAATTCTACCAACTGAACACTGGCTCCATTTTCCCTGTAATTAGCACCAAATAACCTTTTACTTTGCAGAAGCCCTTTTGCAAATTTACATATATCATTTCCTCCTTAAAAAATTAGATAAAAGTATGGGACTGGTAGAATAAAGTATTATCACTTCATCTTCACACAGCTGTGTCTACAGTGAAAGAAAAGCTTTTAAGGGTTGAGTGAGAGGACATGTACTGTGCAGAGATGGAAACCTGAAGCCTCACTGATCAATTAGGACAAACACTCCCTTGGGAGGGCACCAGTATCCACAGCCTGAATCGACCACTACTTATTCAAGCCCAGAGCCGTCCGACTAAACACCAGATCTCCTCTCAAACCAGCTCAGCGCAACAGACCCTTGTTAATTACTTTCTTTACAGCTGCCTCTGTTGGTGTTACATCTATAAAATTGTTAATCAAAGCCGCGCTGTATTTAATCATAAATCTGAAACAGAAATCATGATTACGTTTTATATGAGCTTTTTGGAAGGTACAGGAATTCTTTTCTAACTAATCCTCAGCAACCTTGAAGAGGTTTTAATTAATGTCATCTTTATGGAGCTTAAATTGGAGGCAGTAATACAACAATTAAGGATCCTCTAACAGTTTATTTGGTAGTTTTGTTTGCACGCTAAACAACAGACTCACAGACAGCTGATACGGAAACATCTTGCAAAGCTTGGCAGGACAAAGACAGTCTGCTGACTGTCAGCGGTTGGCCTATTCCTCTCCTCAGTGCATTTCCTATTTATTCATGCATTCTACAATAACGCACAATGGTGGTGTTTCACAATATTTGTCTTGTGTGTAAACTCTTCTCTTCATACCCTCCATCTCACCTCTCCTTAGGTGCTTTTTCTTGGTTTTGCGGCGCATGCCATTGATCCCTGGCACAGGCTTCATGTCGCTCTTGTTGATGGGTGGTGGGTGCAGTATAGGCTTCGGGGCTCGAGTCAGGCAAACCGGCAGACCTGCAGCGCACATCAGGATACCTGTCATACCTGACGCATATATAGAGCAGACACACACATACACACACATAGAAGATAAGATTAAAAAAAAGAACAAACATTATTTAGACCACCAAAAGCTCTCATCTTCACAAAAATGATCATTTTCAGATGCTGCACAACAGACGTGGTCTAACCTGCAAGCGCTGGGTGCACTGGTCCAGAGCCAGTCAAGTTCTTCACTGGGAGGGCAGGAACACTATAAGATGAGAAGAAATAAAGAGTGAAACAAAAAAGTAATAAAGAGACGAGTTAACTAATGTGTACAGAAAGTGACTTGCTCACATCATGCATTCACACAGAGGAACACCTCTCTCTATGTGAGCAGGGGGAGCTTCTTGTCATGCCAGTACATTCAAAATCTACATTTTTTATATTCCCTAAATGGCACCGTGACCTCTAAAATGGACAGTAAATTGTCCCGCTGCTTTTTACCCCACAGTTGAAAAAATCCTGAGAGCAGCAGATAGTTCTGCTCCGCACGCCATGAAAAACACTCAAGTTAAAATGTCACATGTGCTTCACCGCAGAGACAGAGACAACTGCAATGGGATGAGACAGCTTGACTCATGTACAAAGCACTGCAGCAGAGCCTGATTCAGAATGACATTTGGAGAGGTTGGAGTTCATGGGAAACACAGACGACAAAGACAGTTGACTTGCGCGCTCTTCAAGATCTGTGGAGCAGAGCAGACAAAAAGCACTTGGGGCATTAATATGAGCACACAAGTCAGTGAGTTTCTCTTTTCAGAGGACCGGAGCCTCGACTCAACCGGCATCCCACAGCACAGCGCAGGAACAAGTTTGGCTTCCTCGGGTTACAAGCAAGACTCCATGACAACTTGGCTCAAGCCATGGCAAGAAAAATCAATTATTTGGTAAAAAATAGTGAAGTCATTAAAGCTTGTGTTCAAACCGGATGTGAAGCAGCTGGACAAAACATGAAGTTAAATCTTGACTTCAGGATAGAGAGGCATCATTTACACCGGCCCATTTCATGTTAAAATAAGTGTCCAGATTAAAACTGCAAAGTGTGTAATTAGTATTACTATTCCTCTATAATTGTATGGAAAACAGTTGCAGTCAATGTGTAGCTTTGAGCCAGTTAATCATCTTGTGGATGAATTGATGCTGTGTTGTTATATGGAGAAATTTAGCAATTATCTCAAAGTATGCTCCATAGTGAGACCAAAAAAGGTGATATATACTCTACTCTATATAAATAAGAGCAAATATCGCTCAGTGTCTGCTGGTACACAGACAGCTGTTTCCCAAATCAATTTTATAAAGTGAGAATATGTCAGTGTCGTGTTTATAGATTTGTGCGTGAAACAATCAGTTAATGCAGGTTCAAAGCCTGACAGATATGTTCGATGTATTTCCCACCTAATGAAATGTTACCAGAGCTGATTGTTTTAACGTATCGATGCACGGCCCTGTGGCTTGTGACTGCTGCCTGCTGTCAATATGTGTAACTACATTACACTGAGAGCTATTGTGACGCTGTTCTTGTCCCTTTCATTTGGGAGACATGGTTGCTCTGAAGTACCTGTCAAACTAACATAATGAGATCTTTCAAGGCTAAAGAGAGAATGTTTGAAAAACACAAAATGCAGGAGCTCAATTAGCCTTTTAAGATTAAATGTGTAAAGACATCAGCTCAGCATGGAAACAGTGTTAACTTGCCGCATGCTCTACCTTTTGTTTTTTCTCAGTGCCTTCATATTACAAATCTTTGAAGCAGAATGCAGACAGTGTGTGATCTGCAGGAGATAAAATAAGACATGATCGAGATAAAAATAAGACATGAGCTCCCCTGAAAACATGACTGGTAAAATTTTGCAGGGGGTGGCTCTGAAATATTGACAGTAGGCTATTTTTGCTATGCAATTTTATGTTTTGTATCTTCACCATCATGAACGATGGATAAGATTAGGTTCTTACTGATGTATTATTCAGGCATTAGAGTGATTTATTACTAATTCACTTTAACAGAGATACCAGCATGCATGCTGTTCTTGACATAAAGTGTGGTGGTGCAACATCATGAACCTCACTCACTTTAACTCAAAAATCTGAAGAAGAACACTTTGTATTCTTATCAGTAGGAATAATGGTAAATAAAAACTAAATACACTGCTTTGTAATTGCTGTATCTGCTGTTTCTGACCTAAAAAAAATTAAAGTGAAAAAAGTGAGCTGCCCTGACACACTGAACACTGACGTACTCACATTTGCACCACTGTTCAGCGCAGTAGGCAGCATTAGGCCCCTCACTGCTTTGTGCTGGGACAAAGAATTCCCCTTCTTGCATGTGTGCATGACAAACAAACCTGTTTATGAAACAAGTTGCTGCACAAAACACCACCAGTGGTCAAGTTTATAATAGCCTAAACCGCTTGAGGTTTTCTGAGACACCTTTGAGTCACACCTCCTCCAGAGTCATAGCGTAACAGCTTTGTCATCTGAAAACAGAAACTTACAAGCATGAAGCACACATGTCATCTCATTTACGCAAACAAGAACCACAGTCTCATCACTAAACTTGCATACCTTTCACCTAATTAGGCAACATGAAAACACCCTCTTGTGGAAAAAAATCTTTGTGTATAAAAAATCTGCCCTCTACATGTCCAGTGTTGAGTAGATAAACGTAACACAAGTGTAGATGCTCGCTGCTTTGCTCTCTCAGTTCATCAACCGCAGACAGACACCACTGCACATATACTTTTGAATCTCTTTGACCATGAAGCGACTGAGGTCTTTGGCCCTGCATCGCTGCACAAATCCGCCTCAGACAGACGGCTTTGATATTAGCGAGAGCCTCTGTTCCTGTGCCAGGGGAAGCCCTTCAATAAGCTGAGTGCAATAACAAAAAAGGACATGAAGGCTGGCTGAGACTGATGTGTCCTATCGCATCTCTGGTGAAGACTCAGACACACTGTATCTCCCACCAGTGGACCAGAAACCAGGATCAGCTGACTTCTGTTGCATGTAGGACCGATGTGTTGAAATATAAGTACAGCGATGTGCAGCTCTGATAAATGCAAGAATGTCAGGAAACCACGAAAGGCTTGATTTATTTGAGATTCTTGTAAGCAAAGACGACTGCGAGTAATTTCACACCTTCAACCGCAACAGAGGAACCGGTGAACTCAACTCCTGCTGTTTCACTTGCAACAAAAACTAACCAGTCGATGCATCACGGCTCGCAGCTGCCCTTCACTCGATAAAAGTAGCAGCTTGAGTCAGAGGTTTGCAGTCTCTTTTTTGTCTGACTGGAAAACCGAGAAAGTATTTGTTTTCACTGCTGAGGAGAAGGCAGAGGAGCACGTTATTAAAAACGAATATCAAACCTAACGTGATCAACTAAAGCTGATAATCAAAAAAAGGAAACAGAAAAAGGTGCTGGCCAGTGGGAGAGTCGACCCTTCATTTAAACATGCACTTAGGCCTAAATCAAATCAAAACACGCCATCAACGAGGCGCCTCCCTTTACGAGTGTAATTTCACAGGGAGCGGTGTGATCAAACAAATCATTTTCATAAGAGGAAGAAATGGGACAACAAACCCTCAAGAGCCCTCAACGCCATCATCATTGTGTGCTCTGTGCACACTTTGCACCAACTGTAAGCTCGCAGTACAGCGGATCTGTCAAGGATCTGTAACATAACATGAATTAGGAAATGCTTTTCATCTTTATTGCTTTCCAATTCTAGCAAAGATCTCGCTATCAGCTGCAGAGTGTAGAGCATAATGAATATGTGGATGAAATAGCTGCAACACCAAAAAAACAAACCAAAACCAAGCAGCGGCAGCTACTGATGATCCTTATCGGCTAGACGGAAAGAAACACACTTCTCTCCTCTGTACTTGTGTTTTTTTGTTTTTTTTTTCTTACAAAGGCAGATGCATATCTTGCAAACAATCCTCGTCTCATTATTTCTGAATGTTTGTGATCACCCACTGTATCTCTGTACTGCAGAAACTGCTCTCACACGAGGCTGCGTCCTTAACCAGCCAGTCAACCTGTAGCTGGTGAGCAGCTGTCACCCTTCATCTAATTCTAGTTCTCTTTTCCCTTGACTTGATCTTTTATTTGGAAATGTGCACCTCTGGAGGCAGTGACCCTTTCTGTCATGGCTGACGCCTCGAGCGCTGGGGTTGAAGACACGTGTCACCTCCTCACGCTGTGCTGACAATCCCCAACACTGGATGGCTTCCAGGGTTTGACTCCAGATTTAACTTTTTCCTATTGTGGGATTTCTTTTAAAAAAAATGCGGCAAGAGATGGTTGTTCTTGCTGAGCTGGCATTTTTAGGGTTATAAAATATCATTGATCCTGAACAATAGGCTCTGTTGGCTTCTGCTCAGATCTTTCAAGCAATTATACCTCATCATCAGTGTAAACAAGCAGAGACCTCCTGCCTTTCCGCACTCCAGTTCTGATGAGACTCATTCCGCAAACCACAACCTCTGAGTTTCCCTCATGCTGCCAGCTCTAATTTTTCTCCTCCTCTGGACTTGTGTTCACCTCTTTGCTCCCTTCTCTTCAACTTCTCTGCATGAAAAGAGAGTTACACCCAAATTCTGGTAATTTCTTACCAAAAACCAATGCCATTATCAGATAATAAATCCACCCCACCCCCACATATCCAAGCCATTAACACCCCATTAATTGTGGCCCCTGGTAGGTCAGGGCTTGAGGGTCTCTGTCCCTCTTCTGTCTCCCGCTCAGTCTCATCCCTCTTCTTCTCAGGGAATCTCCAGCGTGCCTTGAGGACTTAATCAGACGTGATTCCCCAAATAGAGACACCACATTAAGCCTAGTTGAGAAAGTGCTGACGGAGGACTAATATCTCCTCATCTGTTTATTATGCGCTGTAAAGACAGTGTGAGGGGGGTAGGATGGAAAGAACTCCACGAGTGCTTAATTGCATATTGATGTTTGGAGCAGGAGGTAGAGGCAAGCCCTGCCCCCCCGCTACTATGGAGATGGGAGTGTGTATCACAATGTACCTGAAATATCCCAAAAATCAGCAGTAATGACATATGGGATTTCCAAATTACACCAGTTTGGTTCACATGAGCTCTCATGATTTATTCATTTAGTTCAGTATTAATTTTTATTGTAAGGGGAGCACCGGAGCAGAGCGGCGAGGCAGCCCGCTGAGGGATAATGATCTCTGCACTCGATACACTCGCAGCCCTCCAGTCAAAAGCCAGACTAGCGTTCTTAACACAAGGAGCTCGTAAACACAGCCGACAGCAGCATGCAAACACATGCTATTCAATAGCTTTTTTTTTTTTTGCAGCTGACAGAGCTGGACAGTTGTTTCTTTTTTTTTTGATACCACTTACTTTTCATCTCTCAGAGAACAGAAAGAAATACTAAACAGGTCTGTCTAGAGACATGCAGTGCAGGCCTCGAGTCTGCTAACGCTGGGGGAAAGTGCACAAGAGGAAGTGGTTTGACTGACACAGACGAGTGTGAAATTCTTTCTGTGTTCACTCCACCACAAAATATGTGTCTTTATGTTTTGAACAGGCGGATGATTCAGTACGATCACGACTCTCCATGCAAATCTCATTAAGAACTGTGGTTCACATTTCATTACAAGTACAATGTGCAGATGAAACACTTTAACACATTTACATTCACCTGCATTGTTTTTATTCTAGTTAACAGTTTTAGCTCCCATTTAACATGTATAAGACGCATATTAAAATTTACAACTAATGTGATTAAAGCAGATATAAGTTTTAATGCTTTTGTCTAGGGGCTGCAAGGTGGCGCAGTTGGTTAGCACTGTTGCCACGCAGCAAGAAGGTCGCCGGTTCGCGTCATTCTGCGTGGAGTTTGCATGTTCTCCCCGTGCAGCGTGGGTTCTTTCTGGGTTCTCCGGCTTCCTCCCACAAGTCCAAAAACATGCTGAGGTTAACTGGTGATTCGAAATTGTCTGTAGGTGTGAATGTGAGAGTGCTTGGTTGTCCAGGGTGTCCCCTGCTTTCGCCCTAAGTCAGCTGGGATAGACCTCAGCCCCCCTGCGACGATTAAGCGGTGTATAGATAATGGATGGATGGATGTTTTTGTCTACTCTACTCGGGGGTTCTATAAAAACAGACTGTCTATGACAATATAGCGAAACCTCATAATAAGAACAGAAAGCATGTCTTCATTAGAAAACTGAGGTTGCACGGTGAAGCAGTGGTGACACCTCACAACAAGATACACTGGGTTCAAACCTGGGTTCAGCTTTGCATGTTAACCCTGTCAATATGTGGGTTTCCTCCAGCTTCCTCCCAACGGTCCATCGACATGCATGGTAGGTTAAGTGGTGATTCTAAATTGGCTGTAGGTGTGGGGTGAGTCTGCATGGCTGCCTGTCTATGTGTGTGTGTGTGTGTGTGTGTGTGTGTGTTTGTTTGTGTGTGTAAGGCCTGCAATGGACTGAGGGTGCCCAGGGTGTGTCCCGCCTCTGACCCAGTGCCAATAGCTGCCTCACAACCCTCTACAGGATAAAGCAGGTATGGCTAATGACAGATAACACTACACATTAGTAAAATGATATATATACCAGGGATGTACAATGATATCAGCATCATTATTGGTATCAGCTAATACAATGTACTAGCAGCACTAAATGAAAATGTTAAATAAAATTAGTTATGGCAGGAAAAAATTGAAAACATTGTCATATTTTTCCAATGAATGTGGACATTTGAAAAGCTTTGTGTTTTATGTCTGCATCTGCCAATAGGTCATTGGCATAAGATAGGACAAATTACCATGTCAATTCCACTACAGGTGAGACTTAATAAGTCCTGTAACTAGCTGGAAAAATATGTGCAATCAGCCAAAAATTATTTTGAAAATTAAAACTCAATGCATTTCAACAGATCATCTTGTTTTTTGAAGGCCAAACATTTTAACCAATGAATAAAGAAAGTACTCAAAGGATGAATTAGTCTTTTGTTACGGTCCTGCTTCTAACAGATGCAACAGTGTTTGAGCTCAATAACTCAAAAAAACAAAAAATAAAAATCTATAGCAGTCTGCATCTGTTGCTACTACACTGTACAGGTGGTGATATGTGGGCTGCTCAGTAATAAGATAAACTGATGTGTTGACACAAACCAGCAGATGGTGCCACTTCTAATATTTGTGCATATAAGACAGATGCATGAAGCAGTGCAACCCCCACCCCCCCTTCACAGCCCACAACCAGTGGCTCCTTGAGACAATAAAAAGATCAATATCTGAACTGCAGCCTTCATCATCAATGATACACGGGTCATAAAAACATGTGCGGAGCCGTGCTGTCTTATGTAAAGGTGAAATCAATCACATGCTGGATTGTTTTAAGTATTATTCCAGCAATGAAATACCTGTGATCAGATACAGCATGATTGTTTATGTATGTAAAGCAGCTCACCAAACTCATGTAAACAATCCCCCAGCGTGCCAAATACCTACCTTGCACAAACTACCAGTTATATTAGGGCGTGGGTGTGTGAAAAAACAGATCTGATGTTTTACATTCTGTGTGGGTTCCTCTGTTATCTGTCTGTAGCACGCTTGTGGGGATGTGCGAGGGAGTTCACATTTCAGCTTGTGTGTGTTTGCGAGCTCTCATGTCCTGCTGCGTGTATGTTAACCACACTCATCCTGTATGTCGAGCCACTCGCCTGGGAACCGATGTAGTCCTCCTCCCCCCCCCGCCTCCCGCCTCCCCCCCGTCTCTTCCTCTCTCTCGCTCTCACCGTCTCCACAGAAGTCTTTGTGCTGCGAGGTGAAAAAGTCACATTTCATCCACAACTCAGCGCACCTGAGCCTTCGCTGCATTCTTAAAATACAGGAGAAACATCCCTGAGTAGGTCATCCTATGCCGACTTTCTCTACCACAAATACCTCTGCACAGAGATGCATCATCTCCCACCTACTCGGTGTACGAAACAACGTCACGGCCTGCGATGGCGAGCACAAACTGCTCGACAGTTTAGTGACAATGAATTAGGCCACAGAAAGTGAAAGCATTTGTGCCTGGGTGAAGGACGGCATTATTCAAACATGCAGTAAGTGTGTCTCTCCCCATGAGCGGCGAGAACAAAATGGAATCAAATTAGATCAGGAGTGGGTTTATTTTAGTAAAAGAAAGCAGGATAGGGGACTGAAGTATCGGTTACAACGCTAACACACTTCTTTTCCTTGGTTCCTTTCTCTGAATCGCTCTGAGGTCAGAGCGCTCTGCTGAAGCTCCCATTTTTCCTTGATCCATTATTCATTCTTCCCCAGTGGAGCTCTGCCTCCATGGCAAATAGGTTTCCACAGCTACACCAGAGCCCGTTTCACATGTCTGACCGTGCATTTACACTCACACGCGCCCAGCGTGAAACAAAGATGCAGTCAAACACAAACGCTTTCAGATATTCTAAATACAACGTCAGACTGTTTCACATCCCATGACACAACGACCACAGCTTCGTGTGAAAGTAACAAATTAGTTCAAAGCAGAGGCAACAGAATGATCCAGAAGAGCTGCAGTATTTCACGCCTATCGGGGCCAACATAAGCTCATTATGGAGCAGTAACCATGGCAGGCACACATATGGAAGAAAAGCGTTCTTTGCTCAGTAAAATCAGGAAAAGGGGAATGAGCTGGACTTTTTCTGCAGATGCATTGATCAACATGTTAACAAGAGTAGTCATAAATCAACAGAGGGCAAAGGGGAGAGAGAAAATGAGTGCAGCCCGCCCGACACATTCAGGGTAAAGCTTTGAGAAGCAGACATGAAGAGAGATTCTTGGCTTTTTATATCCACCCATTGCCTCAGTGGAACAGTAAATTCAACCGAGTCTGAGAATAATGCCACCGCTATAGCTAGTAAAAAAGGCTACTGCAGACTCCTGAAAATAAGAAAATGAGGAGAATGCATAATTGTGTTGGCAAACACCATTACCCTGGTGGGATGGCTCCTCTGGCAGTTCCCATGGAAATGCGTTGAGTGCCCGGCCGGTTCAGGTTGTTCTGTCCGTTGATGGTGAGAGCGTGGTGGCCATGGGCGGATGAAAGAGATGGCATCACGGGGGAACAGGGGAAGTTGGCAGTGGACAGAGGCAACTGCACCTGTTCAGCTTTGGCTTGCCCGCCTCCCACACTTATGTTATTGTTGTTGGTGCCGGAGGAGCCGGATGTTGGAGACCAGAGGGAGGTCCCTGCAAAGGTGTTGCTCTGCCGCACTACAGTGAGGGTTCCTGCAGCGCCTGGGTTGCCCGCCGTCCCTCCATAGAGCTTCCGCCGCTGAGAGGCCAGAATAGCGTTAGAGGCCGCTCTCGTACTGTTCACTAGGATGCACTGCTGGCAGGAGCAGGGCTGGCCGGAGCTGGCTCCCACGGGCCACGACTGGGACTTGGGGATGGAGCCCATGATGAGCGGATAGGCCAGGTCCATGCGCCTCCTCAGACGCCGCTTGCGCTGGCTCTGCCTGTTGGTCTGAGACATGCTATTAAAGTCGATGAGGTAGCAGAAGCCCAGAGAGGTCAGGTCCAGCCAGGGGTGCTGCTTCTCATAGGCGTTCTGGATGGTCACGCAGATTTCCATGTCGTACGGCGTCCATGAGCCGTTGTCGTTCTCCCACTCCCACACCACGCCTTTCCCTGGAGCTGATGACGGCTCGTAGAAGTTCCTCTGCACTGGTCTCATGGTGCCTAAAAAATAAAGAACAGAAGAGAACATGAGGATGGGTTATTGTCCGGAAAGCTGTTAAAACATTTCAGTAACTGGAATTTGCATGCCACAACTAAAGCTGGGGGACTTGCAAGAAATAGATTAAAAGAAGGAATTTACTTTTAGTCTCTAATGTGGAGCAAGACCCGAAAACTCCTACGTCCTATAATGCATTACATTTTCTGTAACACAACTGAGTAGCATCTTTCATTCCAACTCCCTGCCTCCTAAATGCCAAACTCTTTTAAATGCCACACTTTCAGTTTGAAAAGCAAGAAGTCTCAAGCCTGAGCCAAGAAATGCCAGATGATGTAATCACGGTTACTTATCATGAGTCGCACTTCTCGCAGGCTGAGTGGTACTCCGCATGATGAGTAAAGTGAACTCCATGTGTAAAATCTATGCAGTGTCTCTTTAACCCTCTGAACCCCAGAACCAGCCTGAGGGTTTGAGAGGTGGGTTACTTAAAGCTATCCATGACTCAACCAAGACCAACAGTCACATGACAGAAATTCAGGGACTTTTTGGCTGAACTGGGCTGGACTGCAGGCTGTGTTAACTCAGAACAGATAGGAGTATAGAAATGAATAAAAAATGTAAGTAATAAAATATCTATAGTATGTCAAGTCACCGTTTTTAAAAAAATACTGGTAACACCTTTGGGCACTGGCTATACATCTTGATTCCACTTTTCCCCTGAGTTCTCTCTAATTCTAACCATGGTTGTACTGTTCTCATGGAGGTGCAGGACTTGATATCGCAGTGAAAAATGAGCCCACAGTGAGTTAATGTGACAGCCGCAAAAAACACCCAGAAACTGCTTGGGGTTGAGAGGGTAATTCGCTCTAATTAATTACATTAACCATAGACGGAAAATGAGATGGCGGTAATTTAAAAAAAAGATACAAGAAATTTTCTGGGTAGGTTTTCAAATGAAGAGCATTACTTATTTTTCAGCAGCTATTTTAACTAAAACTATATGAGGCTTTGATGGGAGTGTATCATTATATTTGACAATTAAGGAAGTAAATGAATAACTGTGTAGATGAGCAATAGAAAGAAAAAAAACAAAACAAAAGATAAATTGCTGATGACATTAGCCTGAGGCGAGATGCAATTTTAATGGTTCTCCGGTTTCAAGCTCGGCGAGTAAGCTAACAACTGTTGAGACGGCATACGTGCCCAGCTGATGGAGATGAGCTATAACATTCACTACCAGCCTGAGGGAATAACAAGCAGGGGTGCATTGTAAAAAAACACCCTAACCCCAACAAGCTCCCACTGTGTGTCAAACTGCACGCGTGGCCCTTCAGAAACACATTACCCATAATGCCCTGCTGTCTGCACTCTGTTCTATATGACGACAGACAGGAGCTGGTAGCTTTATACCTCTGTCCCTCTGCTGATGGCCACTCAGCTCCCACCTCCATTATAACGCAATTACTGCGGTCACATGGGAAATCAGGACACCTTAGACTATCCATCTCCGCGGCGCACGTCAGCAAGGATATCCAGGCGCTCCGGCAGAAAGCGTCACCCCCTCCTCCCCCCACCTAATTTAACGGGTAAATGCACACTCCCATGCCAGGGAGGACCAGGGTGATAATGGAGGGACGGGAGTGTGTGCAAGAGGATGAATGGGTGTGGGAATGAGTAGGGGGGTTTGGTGGGCAGCGGTAACCCCTCATCCAGCAGCTTGGTGCTGGCTCCGGAGAATAAAATGCATCAGCAGAATCAGCAAGTCTGACCTTGAGTCGCTGCTGCAGACTGCTGCTAAAGGACTTGGCTTGATGGCTAATTTCATTTGGAGCTGCTGAGAACCACACACACACACACACACACACACAGACACACACAGACACACACACACACACACACAGACACACACACACACACTCTCACAGATGACTGCTCAGTGAGCCAGCTGCCTGTGTCTCTCACGTCAGGCAGCCATGCACAACTTTCTCAGCCAGTTGCATGCGTGCCTGCTCACAGCTTGCTGGCCCGATTTCTTCCATTTTCTCAGAAGATAATAATGCTAAAACAATTCCCTGAAACATAGCTCAAAAATAAAACACCCTCAGATTTTCTCGAAATTAGTCATTTTCTTTACTTGAAGCGTAGAAGTGGAGGTTTCTGTGATGGTGAGCCACACATCTGAACTCTTCATCACTGCGCCTCTCAAGAGATGTGTAACGTCCAACACTTTTCACCATGGCTGCAAGGATTTGGCCACGATCGATAGCGGCACGGCTTCACACAGTCTTGCTAAGCAGTGAGTTTAACACGGGCTTCATAAATATTTGAACACGCAGAGACGCTTTATTCCCAGGCATCAATTTAAACGTCTCACCTTGGTTGAGGAAAGACGAACGGCATCTCTTTATGAAAGCCTATTAGCGCTGTTAATTGTTCATGAGTGCACTGATGGCGCCTGATGCATGAAATGTGCTCAGCTGAAAGAGATTTCTATAAACAGTTCAGTGGGCTTTGAGGAATGGGTGTTTGGCAGTTGGATTTCTTGAGTGTAATTAAAATGAAGCGAGGACAAAGCAGTGCGCAGCATTCACATCCCTATCCTACTGGTTGCTCACATTAGTACTGGCATATATGTGCTGATATGAAAGCATAAAGACAAAAAAGATGCTTAGCTTGGGGTGATTTAGAAATGGTGTCGTTACACTGTTTGTTCTGCAGAGCAGTTCCTTTTCTATTCTTTACCATACTCTCACTGATGCCTGCAGTACATGTAGCAGAGTACACATCGCAGAGGAGCAGACAGTGGTGCAGAAAGTCTTCACACCAACTAGTTTGTGAAATACATTGCTGTCAAGTTATAAAACCGTGACCCCATAATTTTCTCTTTTTTGCCAACATAAATCTAACATACTGTATGTTTAGAGATGTATTTGATTAGTGCAGACAATCAGCAGATATGTCGATATCTGTATTTTTTTGCCGCCTAAAAATCGTTAGCGGTCCCCAGAAATCCAGTATCAGCTGAGCTATACAGATATTGTGTTGAGAATCCTCAAACAGATGTGGTTTTATGGGAAGTTATATCCCCTAGCTAGCAGGCCAAGTTGGATAGTTACGAGCCCAACCCTCTCCTCAAAGTCCCCTTCACGTTATTGATTAAACTCCCAAAAAGTCATCTTTGTGTGTCAAAGCTACATATTTACAAGCTTTTCCACGCAAACAATCCCTCCCTTCTTTAAAATGGCCTAGACGTATCTCTGCACTGCTACTACCTCCAAAATGTGTAGATCTAAGAAGCCTCCGCCTCTCTCTACACCCAGCCCTCCGCCTCTTGCTGCAGCTCCGGCACACCAGCTCACCTACGAATCTGCTCAAACACTGTAAAACTACTCTGTGTAACATGATGACAAGTCGTAATATTACTGGAGGTCAGTGAAACACAAACCAAATCAAATCAAGTTTTACTGTCATTTTGCTGTACATACAACAGTAGTACAGGCAAGATGAGAGAACATTTGTCCAGGATCCAATAACCAAACACACTCAAACCAGAGAGTGATTCTGATAAAGAATAATGATACAGAACGCCCCACCCTGCAGAATGACTGGACTGATTCCTTAGATTCCTTGTTACATATGAAACCCTGGAAGTCCGACTTAAGTCTCAAGGTTGAAATGCTCAGACATGGCATTGACGGCTTATTTTGCACATGATATGTCGTCTAATATGTAAAAAACGCCACAAGATTTTCACTGGACAGCTCTTTAAAATCACATATCGACATCCCTGCGTGTTTGCTACCAGTTAAACAAAGTGTATAGCTCCAACCTGCGAATGAGCCAGGCTAGTAGTTTGCTTTCATGTCAATGAGAAAACTGTTTCCTGAGTCTAAGCGAACAGATGGTTAAGTGAGCAGCAATGTTCTCGTCTCTGAGGACAAAAGTACACTTTTACACCAACAACTATTCCTTTAAAGAGGTCAATCTGCACTTTGATCGGTGTTTTGAAAAACTTTTGCCTGTGCTGTGTCTTCTAAATGTGTTTGGCTGAACCTGTATAATTTTGTCTGACTGCTTGTTTGTTGCCTCGATGGTTTGACTAAATTTTAGAGATTCATAAGTACAACACTGTTGTTTCTAATGTCATTGATGGTCACAACTACAAAATTTAGACCCAAAATCTAACGAAGGAGAAATATTTATTAAACATTTGCATTCCTATGCAGGGACTGTAGAAGTTGCTGATCAGTGACCCTGGAAGGAAAGACTAGAGGCCACAACAACACAAGAGTCCCGGCGCCTCGTGCAGGAAGCTTCACTCAAAACATACAGCCTGAAACGCTGCTCCCTGCCACCTATTCTGCTGTAATTTACTGCTGCATGTACTATAATTGCCTCTGCCAAAAAAATCAGCACTCAGTTGTTGATGTTCCCTCTCTGACCCTTCTTGCTCTTCCTAACAGGAAATTTAGCGAGAGTGGCCACTTCCCGTCTGACCCCGTGTGCCTCTGGCAGCCATCTTTCCTGCCCTCCCCTCTCATCCCCTTATCTCCCTCCCACGACGTCCTCCAGCTGTCCTTTCCCGACGCCAGCGTGGTTCCCCCTGAGCAAGCTGTGGCTGTGTGATGTATTGCCACATCGGGCCTCGCTGTGGGACTCTAACCCCGCTGTCACACGGGGCCAGGTGGGTTCAGGGTGAGCTGGGTTACCCTCTCACATCATAGCTGGGGGGTGGAAAGCTTCCTGCAGCCTGTTTGCCATGTGAGGTCGTGCCAGTCTCCATCGTTAATAGCCGTGTTTTTCCTCTGGATGTGAAGAAAAGGCCTGTCTGAATCACTCTTCTAAATGGGAGGACATGCATCATTAAATTGCAACATCCTTGACTGCCCTCAGAGGCATACTGCGGGGAAAGATAGCAGACTGGCAACATGATGCTTTCTAGTTATTTTTACTGGATGCTTTTATCAGAACTGTGCAATTACTGTACAAACTGTATACAAGA